CCCTAACCCTAACCCTAACCCTAACCCTAACCCTAACCCTAACCCTAACCCTAACCCTAACCCTAACCCTAACCCTAACCCTAACCCTAACCCTAACCCTAACCCTAACCCTAACCCTAACCCTACACTCGGGCGCATGGGGCATGGGCATAACGGGCATACGGGTATACGGGTATAACGGGCATAACGGGATATACGGGCCTCCCGGCGTATATAGACCACTTATATATATATATATACTACTCTGAGATTAGGATATAATATATCTACTATTAACTATCTAAACCTTAAAGATTAAGAGGTGTGGTAAGCATCTCGATAAGGCCTTATCTAAATAAAATAAGTTCTATCCCCCCCTCCTTACCCCCTCGCCTCCTGCTCCTACTCCTGCCCCCCCTTCCTTCCTGTCTTTTCTTCCCCCTATCTCTTCTCTCCTTATTATTTAAACCTAATCTTTAATAGTAACCCTGCTGTTAGTGAACTTTTGAAGTTATTGATGAAGACTGTCCACGTATCCACCCCTAAGGAGCTAGCAGACTTAACTAAACTATACCTTAATTTAACTAAGGCTTCCCGTAGCAGTAATATATACTTTGCTGCTTAGCCACTTAGTAAAGACGTCAAGTTATTCTTATAAAACGAAACCCTTAAGAATAGAATATACTTAATCGACCTATCCAGACACGGAGAGATAGAGGCAAGCAGGGCAGAGGTCGCTCAAAAGTATTCAGACAAGATTAATGTTACCATAATCATCGCTCTAGTTCATCAGGCTACAGATGAGCATATAGCATAGGGGCTTCTAAGCAAGTTTCACTCACTTCAAATGCAAATAACTAGATATTTCATTAAAGAAAAGTTATCTATTTTCTTTCTATAGGAGAGCGAGTAAGGAGTAGGAGTAGGGGAGGGGCAGGGGCAGGAGGGGGGACAGGGGCAGAAGATAGAAGAGGAGCAGGAGGGGGGGCAGGGGCAGGAGGGGGGCAGAATATAGTAAAGAGAAAGAACTACCTTTATCTCCTCTATACTTATATAAGATATTCCTACTATAAAAATAGAGGAGGGTAGTGAACACTAGCAGAGCAGTTAGTGTTCGATCGATATCTAGAGGGATCGCGAATACTACTAGACCAGTTAGTATTCAATCGATATCTAGAGGGATTACGAACACTAGTAGAGCGATTAGACTATATAGAATAAAAGTCGCTATATAGGTGAAAAGGTGCAGGAGGGGGGGCAGAAGGAGGGAACTATAATAATTATATATAAACCATTATTATTATTATGTATAATGAGCTTGTTCTTCATTTATTGTCTACTATCAAAAGACTATCACCTGAAGGCAGCTAATTTCCTTTCCTGTTAACCCAGGAGCCGCAGCGCTCGCCACGATCTGGGAAAAAGAGCATCGCCTAAAGGCGGCTGATTTCCTTTCCTGATAACCCAGGAGCCACAGCGCTCGCTACGATCTAGGAGAAGGAACATCCATCGCCTAAAAGCAGATAAGAAGAAACACATCATAAGCATCCTGGCCGAGGCACTTGCCACAAAAGGCAATCTCTTCTTTAAAGAATAAGAAGAAACACATTATAAGTATCCTAATAGAAGTATTTATAGTAAAAAGGACAATCTCTTTATCTTTATAGGATAACTCTATTCTCTCTCCTTCTAGCAATATATAAGACATAGGTAATACTTATTATAGGTAAGGTATAAAAACGGTGTAGCAGACATCTCGGTGAGGCCTGATTAGATTATAGTATATTTTTCCAGCAAGGAGACAGGAGGGGGGCAGGAGAGGGGGTAGGAGAGGGGGCAGGAGAGGGAGTGGGAGCGGGAGGAGGAGGGGGGGGGCGGGAGGAGGAGCAGGAGCGGGAGGAGGAGCAGGAGCGGGAGCAGAAGCGGGAGAGGGAGTGGGAGTGGGAGAGGGAAAGGGAGCGGGAGCAGGAGCAGGAGCAGAAGCGGGAGGGAAGGGGGGCGGAAGGAGAAGCAGGGGAGGAGGTAGGAGGGGGATCAGGAGAGGGGGCAGGAGAGGGAGTGGGAGCGGGAGGAGGAGCAGGAGATGGACCAGGAGCAGGAGGGGGGGGGGGGATCAGGAGTGGTAGTGGGAGAGGGAAGGGAGCAGGAGCAGGAGCAGGAGCAGGAGAAGCAGGAGGGGGGGCAGGAGAAGAAGCGGGAGGGGGGGCAGGAGAAGAAGCGGGAGTGGCAGGGAGGGGGAGGAGAGGGAGGAGGGGGGGGGATCGATTATGTACTCCTTCTAGCTTTCCTAACTCTGGCTCAACACAAAAGCTTTTAGCGCTATGAACAACCGCCCCGGCTACGAGTGCATCGCTAAGATTTACTTCCAATCCAAGGAGGATAGGATAGGGGAGTTAGGGCTACAGCCTGGAATACTTGGTCCAGGCTTCGTGGCCGGCGTTGCTGGGACAGGGATAGAGGGGGGGGATAGATATACTCATCAGTTGTTTTAGGTAAGCTTATCAAGAATGAAGCTTGTTATAATAACTAGTTACATGGAAATGAATGATGTCATCCTGTAATAGAATACCAAGGACTTATATGATTGCGTTTGTCTAACACCACATATCTATCAGTCTACCATGCTAGTTTCCTGCTCATCCAGATCTCCCATATTCCTCGCAGAGCTTGCCGCCATTGATTGACATGGCCTCGTGGAACACATCCTCCCCAGTCTGGATACTAACTTCGTGAGAGTCCATAGTCCCTGGGTGATTCGCCAAACTATCACCACGATCTAGGGCGCAGCCGGTCCTTGCAGCCTGTCGCTGCCTCCAGTCACCAAACACCCAGTCGGAAAGAAAGAAGCGAGAGATGCCGTACATGTAGACTCTCTCGTCAAAACCATGGAGCTGGAGGGATGGGTCATATCGAAGCATCCTCTCGTATCCAAGCTGCAAGGTCTGCCACTTGTGCATGCCCACCTCCTCTGGCTCAATCATTCTATATGTGCTATACACATGCACAGGGCTCATCGCACCCTCAAGAAGCTGGCGATGTTAGTATGGATCATGCACAAGAATCGATGCTGCACCTACCTCGTGGACGGCGCTATCATGCCTGTTCTGTGAGATGGCATCAATCAATGCACGACGAGCAATATCAATAGCGCCCTATCACATGTTAGAATTCATCTCTTATATATAAACTAAGCAGGAGTGCAGTACTCACCGTCTGACCAGATGCCGCGGCTCGGTGCAGCTTGACACTGAGTCTCTGTAGTATATGTGGCATTGGGCGGCACGGCTGGCCATGTAGGATGCATCTATCGCATCGGTGCCCATCATGATCCGTAATAGCCAAATCATCAAACTCCACGTCAGGCTGGCTAAAGAAACCACCTCGACAACCAAGAGCAGTGTCAAGACCCTCGACGCGGGGCCAAAGGATTGCAATGGTGCAATGTTCGCATGCATCCTCTGGGTCTCGGATCTGACATGGGTTCTTGTACATAGTCTCAGGGACTGCAGGTACCATCGTCTTCATGACAAAGTCATAGAAGTTATGGCTGGATGATAGGTCGCGGACCGTGGGTACAGGAGGATGCTAGCCACCTGTACGATACTGATCGGACGCCTCCGCTTCGCCATGAGAGAGGTCTTGCTGAGATGTAGCCATGGGTGGCTAGATAGGCTTTGATGTATAGAAGTACTGATACTATCTGGGTGGTGAGTCGTGTAGAGGCGACTATGTGGGCATCTCAATGAGGCCTGATCGGTCCTGGATTTCCTGGGAGGCGTGGAGTGGCCAGTCGAGTGTGCAGAGATGATGAAAGGTTGAAGTTGAACACGGCCCTTGGGCTGGGAATAAATAGTCGAGGGCTGGCACGTGACGTGTGCTGGCCACGTTGAGGCTTGACATTCGCATCAATACTCTCAGTATTATGTCGGAATTCTCTCGACGAGGCCTGATCGAGATGCGATTGTGGGCGAGCCTGTGAGTCGTTGAACACAAACTCGATCATTCATTCTCACCTTGTTAATAAATCTATGTTTTAGATATCACTTCTACGTCATACTCTAAAATGGATGATGGGGTTTAATTAAAATCAATCTCGCAATCTAGCCTACTGTGTCCGAAACCAACCAACCATCTCAGCTTCCTTGCTCCCTGATAGTCTGACGAAATACAAAAACTTTTGATCGATCTAGTTCGATATAGTAGAGATCCTCTGCCTCTTGAGAATCTTCGATAGAAGCACCAAAACTCATTCCCGATTTGTTAACCCATTACGACATCCTCATCAAAGAAATCGTCATTCTCATCCAGGATATCATCCTCTTCTTCATCCTCGCCGTCATCATCCTCGCCTTCATCAGAGAAGTCTGAATCCCCATCAAGCACAAACTCATTGGAGAGTGGTTTAGCCTTACGGCGGTCCTGCCCTTTCTGGTTGCGCTCATTAACCTGCGCGGCGAACTTTTCGTCATTATTCTTCTTCTCCTCAAGCTTTCGGAAGAAGTTGTGCACGAAATCAACTCCGGATGTATCACCAGACTCGAACTTGGTGATATACTCACTCATCTTCTCGATAGTCAGCTCTTCATCTTGGTGGACCTCCACCACCGCGGAGGAGAGGAGGTCGGTCGCAGCATCCCAGAATTCGAGGCCATTTGGCTCGAGCATGTACTTGAGTACCATGCGTGTTACTAGTGTGCAGAACAACCCGACCACTTGAGTTGACGGTAGGTGGAGATCCCACATTGGGACAGACATGTCCCGCAGGACGATCCAAATGTATCTGTTGAATCCTGTGTTCCAGCGAGACTTGATAGCCTCGTAGAGGATAAGCTCTCTCAGATCCCCACTAATGGTGACGGGAAGAGCACACTCTGCCGAGGCCTGATTGACCCAGCGTGCGAGACAATCACGTTCCTGGTAATCATGATACGTGTTCCTCATCTTCAGGATCCACCATCGAACAATGTGTGCCTGGTTAATTCGCACGAGGCGCTTTTCAATCTGGAGGAGCAGAGAGTGACTGGTACTGAAGTTCGCCAGGATGCCGTGGTAGCATGCATGGTGCAGATTGACGCCATAGGGTAGTGTCCAAATATTGGCCACGAGAATCTTCAACTCATTTGTGTGGTCATTAAAAGCATCGATGACCTCTTGTCTTCCTCTCGTGTGATCACTTGACCGGATTACACCGACATCATATCCTGTCAAGGCAACCGCAGCTGCAAAGTACCTATAATATATCCGAGTTAGTTCTTACTCCTGGGGGACAGTCGTCGAAGTCGGGGAGGCATCTCGATGAGGCCTCACTGGCCTGAGCAGATGGATGAGGCCTCATCGAGATGACTTTTCGACCCGATCTCCAACAAGTGCACGTGGGGTGGGGTATAGTGAGAAAATGTGTACTTACGTCTGTAGCCATGGTGTATCCACATAGATGAGGAGCTTGGTGGAACCGACGCGCACCACTTGATTGACCTTGTCGATAATAAAGGCCAGCATGGGGTTCGTGCCTGTCAGCCATGAGAGCATACTGGCGGGATCGGTTGGTATTATGCTGAGTTTCGACTCTCGAGTCGTCATGAAGAAGTGAGTCAGTCCGGCAAGGGGGTCGGATCTGGCAAGCTGTGTGATCCGGTCTACTCCGAACTTGGTGTCGCCAGCAAGTGCCTTTATGAGCTTCTTCGCCTGCGATGGTGTGATTTTATTGGCGCGGCTCATTGCACTGAGCGTCTTCTTGAAATTCGCTGGCTGCTTCTTGCCGGGAAACATTGTCGCTAGTGCATCGGAGTCAAAGAAGGCCACGTTTCTGGGATCCGTTGATGCTAATAATGGCCGCCGCATCGCGCCAAAGTTTGGGCTAGACTGCTTGTGCTTCTTAGCCAGTCCTTGGGGCCCGGCTGTCTGGACATACTGGTCCATGGTTGTCTGGTTGCCCGTGTCTGGCTTAGGCTTGACAGCCTCTTCATAGGCCGTTTGGGCGATCTCCAGTTGCGACGGCTCAAAGTCAAGCTCTACAATGGTTGTATGGTGGGGCATGATGCCCGCCCCGGGGTAGTACACCTCGGACCCATCAAGTGTTAAGCGAACTGCTGAGCTTGATGTCCGGCGTATTTCAAATGCCTCCATCAGAACTCTGACGAAGTTGGAGGAAAAGTCAACCGACCAATGCATCAACTCGCCCATCTTGTGGAATAGGGTGGGGCTGAGCAGCCAAATGGGTTGTCTGCATTTGCACCAGGCATGGAAGAGGGGGAGAATCTCGGGGTGTTCATTAAACATCTCACCCGTGAACAAGCCCTTGACCCTAAGATTACCAAACTCGTTCATTGGCTTATCCGGGTCATATTCAGCATTGTATAGCCCTTCGAGTTGACCGAGCTCGTAGTCTTCGAAGTTGATGTCCCGTAGACCATGGAGACCCCAGGCGAGTTGGAGTGGTGCCCTCATGTCATGCGAAGATGAATGTAGAACTGTACCGGTGGTCCAGACAACATGCTCAGCTTGGACGCGTTCGAGGCACGAGGTCGTGTTGCTCTCAACATTGCGAACCATCTGTGCCTCGTCCAGACAGATGAAGTTCCACTGCGTATTTTCAACCAAGGGAACCTTGTAAAAGTATTGCACCAGAAGGGCATCAGCTTCCTTCGGAGTGTGCACCTTAGTATACTCGCTCTCATCAATACGATCGGCATCAACTTTTGGTAGACTCTTGTGATCCATAGACATTTGCTTGAGCTGTTGTGTCTCATCATCTTGTCCTTGTTCATCTTCTCCAGATTGTAGAAGGATGCGCTCCTTTGCACGAGAGGCATCTTGGAACTTGATGTAGGCTTCCTCTCTCTTGAAGGTTCGCTGATAGAATGTTGTGTATGTTGTCAATACAATTGTCTTAGCCATCTGCAAACGTGTTAGTTTCATCGTCTACCTTGGGTCAGGTCAATGAAGGGGTGGGGGTCCGGGAGGTCATCTCGATGAGGCCTGATCCAGCCAGGCTTTGAGTGAGGCCTCATCGAGATGCGCATAATTTCCACTGTGATCATGCCGGATAGGCTATAGTAAAATATAAACTTACCTCTTCGTTGTATGGATCTGCCTGTACCATCCTGAGAAATGCAGCCCATTCATGCTTATCGAAAACTCGCGCACCCTGAATGGGGAAGTCTGCCTTTGTTGAGAAGTAGATCCGCACCGTGAGTAACTTGTTGAACAATCTGATGTCCCTGTAGAGCGATGGGCAAGTACTCATTGGTACTTGGAAAATCGAGGGCTTGAGCTTGATGAAGTTAAGCTCCTTCTTCTGCTCGATGCTCAGGATTGGGGGGTTCCCATCTGCATCCTTGGGGCACAGGTCGCGGATCTTGTCATTGACTTCGCAGATCTGTCTCTGGCTCATTCCGCTTAGTCGCATGTCAAAGTCTTTGGTCTTTTCAGCTTCTTCCACTGATAAGAGACTCATAAGGTATTCCCGTTCCAGCTTGGCGTTATGTCGAACAGAACGGTGATAGTGGGCTTCCACAGCACCACTCAAGATCGCACTCTTCCCTAGTCCCATCTCACTACCAAGAATGGTGAGGCGTGTTTCGTCCTCTCGGTCATTGACAAGTCGTGCAATATCTAAATATACGAGTTAGCAAACCTGTAGATGGCGTTGGGGTGCAGGGTGCATCTCGATGAGGCCTCGCCCATCTTTTCTAGAGTGAGGCCTCATCGAGATCTGACTTACCGATAACCTGATGGGGTCTGAGCCGGATGTCGGTATTTCCACCCCATGTCAAGGTTTCTTCGTTAACGCCTATGTATCTGCAGGCTTCGATCAGGGGTTCACCTGGCCTGGTGTTCAGCCCGTTGAAGAATTTGTCGAGGACAAACTGGCGCCTGGTCTGTAGAATCATATCACTAAACTCCTCGGGAGACATGGTCTCCTTTGCATTCTTGTAGCAGTCGGTCGTCATTGACTGCTTGATATATTCATCGACATCCTCCGCGTAGATGTTGCCAAAGTCCGTCGGGAATGCCGGGCACTGGATGCCGCTCTGTGGATTGATGATACCAGCATGCTGCTTCACGCGTGCAAACTCACTTGGGTGCAGCGGGTCCCAAGGATCTGCGCCCCTCTGGTTGAAAAATTCGTTGCGGGACCGGGTTGGGAATCGAGAGCTTGATGTCTCTAGAAATGCTGTGTGAAAATCAATCTGGTCATCCTCGGAATACCCGGCCGTGTTGTCGGACAGGGCTTCCCTGCCGCGCACCATATCTGCCCGGGCAGCCGAGTATTCCTGTCCAGATTGAAATATCAGGCTGGATCCTGATTGCTTTTCTACCGCCTTTTCTACTGCCCTCTTTGATACAATGGGCGGGACGAATTGCAGGTTAGTAAATGGTGTATCCTGCCCTGGGCGATCAGTCATCTTGTTTGATGTGCCTTTTCGGTGGTGCACAACATATAGGAACGACACGATAGCTCCGTAGAGGTCGTCCCAAGAGTAATCGCC